CAGTTATCTCGGCGTCACCCTGAGCTCTGATAGAACATTCAAAGAAGCACTAGCAAATTTATTGTTACTGAAAGAAAAATTAGAATTCGAAAATTACATAACAGACACATTGAACTAGATTTAGGGAATCAACATCACTCAACGAAATTGAATCTGCCCGGCGCACGAAACCAAAAAGAGAAATTGAAGATGAAATTAATCTAATAATATCATATCTAAATTACAAACAACTAAGAAAGTCTCTAGTTAAAGATATGACCAAACACATAAATAATTTCAGTAACCTGTCAGTTCATATTAAATTTATTTCTATAATGAGTCTTCGCAGTACGGCACAATTTATCAAAGAATGTTTCAAAATAGTTAGTATAGTTATAGATATATTGTAATGTATTTTCGAATGCTTAATTGCCAGTGAATCTTGTAATTTGTAAATGTAACTTTGTAATTTGTGTCCTTACTTTATTTTTCACTATTAATCATTTTTTATTGTCTTGTAGTTTTTAAAGACCTTACTGCAGTACTTTTCAAAGTCAGTGTTGTTTCAATAAATGTAAACGTTTGATTGGTCAACAGGTCTAGTCGTGGGATAAATAACCACAGTGTCTTGATGTGGAAATTGCACTTTACTTGTACAATCTTTATACATTTAAACACTTTGTCATTTTAATCAAATTTATTGAAGTATTAAAACATGTCATGCATGGGTTCTAACAATAATAAATGTTTTTTCTAATTTTTCTAATGATCGCTTAAACTCGATTCGAATCCGTAAACTGCATACATACATTCGCATTGACACCATTTCATGCATGTATCAGGGGGAATTCTTCTCTTCTGGGTTCTCCACACTTGTCAGGGGGGAATCTCGTCTCGTCTCTATATCGCGTCCCCTCGGGGTGCGGGATCGGGAAAGTCACTTATCTTTACAGACAAATAAGACACACACAACGAAATACGTTTCAACTTTCGTCTTAGTCGATCAGTCGAGCACTCTATAAGACACAGCGCCCTGGGGAAAAGTCCCCAAGACTATCGCAAGGCTGACCCAAGACTCGCCCAAGACTGTCAAGACTCGCCCCAAGACTCTCCAGGACTGGACTACGTATCTTCTGGTGTACTCGCCAAGACCAACTAAAACAACTTTATTCATTTTCAAAACTCTAACCAATTACAAAACGTAAAAGTAAAAAGACTCTAGGGCGTAACCTTCAATCATAAAGCCAATCACACTAAGTACTGAATACGTCATATCTTTTGATTAATCGTTCACTACATTAATAACTACGAATACCAACTGTCAGAAATAGTAGTCCGAATAGCGACGGTTATCTCGTAATTAGTTCCAAATCACTGAGCCAAGTTCCGTCCAAAATTTCACATGGCCCACGGTTACTACGGGTTTTTAGTAACCGTGCATGGCCTAAACGGTGCCAGACATAACACAGCTATTCAGCTAATTAAGTCGATTAACAGATACGCAAAAACAAATTCATCACACATGATCACGAGTAAAAACAAAACAAACAAACGTCACAGTGTCGTAGTGGCGTGAGACTTGACAAACACCAAATTATTTTGAGTGTTTCCACGCCTAATAGTGTGCTGTACACATTTGACGAGAGTGTCTCAACGTCATACACACCAAGCATGTGAAAATTTGGCATATTGAAATTGAACTTTATAAAAAATCAAGTTCAAATCATATCATTCAATTGTTGCGGCAAACGTTAGTGGAAGTGAGCGGGGAAATCACCTAAGTCAATTGTTATCTCTGATAATAACTCAACATATCCGTGTTAATATTTATATACATAAACATATTTATAAAATTAGCTGTTCTCCTATGAAATCAATCTCGTTCAAATCAAAACGAGACGGCGCTCGCACATCAATCTATTTAAGAAATGCGTTTTTTCCGAGCTGAACTTGCATACAGTCTCTTGTTTTTTTGTTGTGATATATGTGAGTGTATAGATAACTTTACGGTTTTAGAAAATGAAAAGTTGAATCAGGACATGTTAAATGATCAGCTCCGCTTTGAATGAACTATAGGTCCGATTATACGGAATAATAAACATTGTTTGAGGTTCAAGAATTGCATTAACGTCACTTTATTTGTTACGCATACCAATAGACAAGAACCAAATTACAGACATTGAGTGAGGATAGGTTCCAGTCATCACATGGTAATCCTCTATGACAAAGGTGTTGCGATTTGTTTGACTTTGGACAGAACAGTACACGACCAACAGATTTACGCCCCTCCGATTGTGCGCAATATACTCTACTTTGAATGCTGAAAGCCCGGCAAATGAACAGCCACACATCAGGTCTAGCCTAGTGAGCATTAGGATGACAAATGTAGAATTCTAGACGTTTACTCCCCAATGCAAATATGCCCCCCCCCCTCACATTGTTAGCTAATCACACAAATTCAACATAATCGATACTATCCAACAACGAAAGCTTGGAGTGAGCCTCAGAATTTGCATATGTTGTCAAGAGTGATAGAAACTGTTGTCTGCAATCTGTCACGACTCATCTGTTCTTTGAGCTCAGGTATTCCGTCGTCATCCATCCATCTTTAATCCTCTTTTCACATGGCCTAATCATGCCAGAAGTATTCGGAGCTTTGGTGGTACAAGATTGCTTTCTGCACCTCCACTTATATATGAAAGATACATATGCGTTATCGAAACACCACGTTCTCATTGGTCGATCGGCAACACATATAATCTTATTATCAGACGATGGGGTACGTGTCCTACTAGTTAATGCAATTAGCGAGTTCTCTCAACCAAATGACACACTAATTTCGTATGCCCCTCTGTTAAAATGGAATATGCCATAAATATTGATATTATTTCATAATACATGAATCACTTACAACATGCGTGTACTAATCATGAATATTTGGAAATGTGCTGCTATTGTTTTCATAGCATTTGCATATTTAAAATGCACCAGATGTAGGTTATAAACAATGTTTGCATAATGATCAATTATAAAGATTCATGATCTAAGTCTGAACATGTTACGATTTCTGCATTGATCTAAACTTTAAATCTCAAACATTAGGTAAAACAATGCACTTAAAGATTTTAATTTAAAAATTCACTGTAATTATAGACAAGCAGCCTCTCGGCTAAGATAGCTTTGCTGTTAACAATGCACATTTCAACAAGTCATTGAAAATGACACAGTCCCCGTTAAATTTTTAAAAGTTCTCTTTGTGCTCACCATATTAAAGTGGAGGGGTTGTCGAGAGCATGTCCTTGAAACTTGAGTCCCAAGTGACATATAGATTGTTTACTTACATCAAATTCAAACATGTGTTAAAGCATGTCCAAGATATCACATTTAAAAAAACAAACAAGGTGTCTGCCAGTTGGCCATCTTTGATCCAATTGTGAAAGAAATTGTCATGGACATGTATCCTAACATGTATAATCTATGTACCAAGTTTGAATGAAAACTAAAATACTACATTTTCAAAAAACAAGATGGCTGCCAGTCGGCCATTTTGAATCGAATCGCTAAATCACTGCATGTGCATATGTCCCACATAAAGTACTAGGCACATGCAAAGAATGAACGGAATCAGTCCGGACTGACGGAAGCACGGAGACCAAATTATAAGTCCCCGTATTCCAAACGGTGACTAATAAGGAAATTGAAGATATCACAAAATGAACAAATCTGAGATCGGTTCACATGAGGTACCTATATGTATAATATCAAAGCCATCAAACTTAGTTTTCAAGAAGAAGTCGAAAAAGTCAAAAGTGGAGGCAGACGGCAGAGGCTGCCAGAAAAGTCACTCATATGATAAGCCCCGCTCGACAAAGTCGACAGCGGAGAAAAAAAGAAAAGAAATAATGTTGTGTTAAAAAAGAAACTTTTATTTGCATATATTTCAGTAAAAACAGAATTCAGCTTATACCTTATGCCAATCTACCATTATGTCATGTCTTCATTTCCATGTTACATGTGTAGAAAGTGTATCTATTCTTCGATGAATACTATATTACTATCAACAGACATGATATAATTTGACAAGGAACTGTTTTAACTACACTAAGTTTTCTAAACGCACTGCAACTTCTACAATAATAATTTATACTTTTTAAAAAAAAATGAACATGGGAATGAAATATAACTGTAAAAGATGCACCATGGATAACTATCAAAATCTTTTTAGTATCTATGTTTAATTTATCTTGACATGTTTGGTCATTCACAAAAAAAAAAAACAGTCATTCACTAAAATACCAATCTAGATTTGAATACTGTATATAATTTATAAAATTTAGAATAAATGCATTTTTGTATACTTCATAATTTACTCAAATATAAACTCGTTATCCAAATTGCATCTTTAACTGAGGTGTGAAGACGAGGCGTTTAACTGACACAGAAAAAGCTGATTCCAAATTAATAGTAGTGTGTAGTGTGCATTCTAATGGTACATGTATGATTTCCACAATAGAAACGATCAGATTCAAATAATTACAGAATCATGATTGTACACAATTTAAATAATGAGCAAACACCACCTAAACATCGTATCCATTCCTTTCTACTCACACTATAAATAATATTTTACTTTCACTCTATCAAAGTAAGTTAAAAATCTATGTGCAACTTTCCAAGTATACTAAAACACATACAGAAAATAGACTAAATCCTCAAATAAACATGTGAACAAAATATTTCAGTTAGAGCAAAGATAATAATCAAAATAATTAACACTAAAATTTCTGAAAAAGATGAAATTCATCTTTTCTAACTTCTGGATTCATTTATTGATGCTACAGTATATATAGAATACTATTGCTGATGTTTATGTTATACATATTACAACACAGTTATTTCTAATCAACAAAATATAAAATAAGCTATTTAATTTTAACTTGCATGAATTCACCTATATTTTAGAAAATTTGTCATTTTTTTAAAAATCTGTCAAGAAGAAGTTTGACTGGACTTCACCACGGTTAACATTGTTAAAGTTTAAAGGGCGGTGATCATTGTGCTGTGTCCTGTTCGATATGGAACTCATAACGACGTGCACAACAAAATACATTGTTTGTTTACATGAAATTTAAACATGCACTGTACTACGACCACTGCCCTTTAATATAGCTGGACTAATATTGTTAGAAATCTGAAAGAAAAAGATGACTGGATTGGAGAATGGGTATTTTCACTGGTAACATGTAGAAGAAAAAAAAAAGATGAGAGAGAAAGCAACTTATCCAACATCCACAGGAATTTCAAAATTTAGGCAGTCTTGGAAGAACAATTGGGATTTTTATTTGTTTGACAGTTTCTTCAGTCCACTTCTTCAGTCGTTTCTTCAGATCAGGTGGATACTTCTCATAACAACGTTTACATACTGGCTTCATATCAACCTCAACAAATTTACTCCTACAATTAATAAATTACAAAAGCATAAATAATCATCCACAAATTTTTCCTTCTTATGGACAATTGAAATACGTAAAAGAGAAAGATTATAATATCTCCGGAAATGATATGTATGATGAAAAATTAATACCACTTACTTTAGAGTAAGATGAGTATCACATCCAATACAAGCAAAATGATCAGGACACCACGCTTTATTCATGACAATCACAGCTAGAAGAAAAAAAAACACATTATCATTCATAGTTTAAAATAGCAGAATTTCACAGTGAGTATTTATTTAGTTAACTTTTCCAACATTGCTAGTTCCAGTGGTGTTGAATCAACTTTTAAATTGATTTTGCAACTTTCAACTGCTGTGAAGATGATGTTTACTACTTGATTTAAAAAAACAAAAATAACTGTACATTAAATTAATGATAAATCGGTACTTAACTCAGTGGATCCATGTTTAAAGTGTTTACATTGTCGTTTTTAGGAAGTCTAATTACAGTGTAACCTGAAGCACATACATGGTAGAAGTGAAAGCAACCTGACTCATGGTTTTGAAGAAGCAAAATGATTTGTAATGGTAAATTGACAATCTGACATGCAATAGTCACATGATAATTCAGTTTCAAATAAGCTTACCTTCACCGCCAGTAACCACTTTATTGCAGACAAAGCAGATATTACCAAACAACTGAAAGTAAACATTTATAAAGTGTTAATATCGGTAATCAATAAATCAATTCACCAAAGTGATAATTTGATATTTTACATCATTAATCCATACTTTACAACCAATTCGAATTGAGGTCATGATCAAATTATGCCTACAAGTTTCAATTAATATCTTTCTATCAACTGGATGTACGGTGAGTATGGCTTAACTTTATAAAATGGTGATTTTGTAACTATGGTGTTAAATTGTTTCATCGCATAGCCTATTCACTGGATCTATGAGCTATTACATTTGACATATCACAATATGAACAAATAATTTCATCACAAAAACTAGAGTCCATTTAAATTAAAATATATCTTCCCCCATCACCCGTTAGTTGAAAATAACATCAATGATAGTATATAACAGACTTTACATCATAGAATCTTACCTGGTTGTAGTGAGTTTCACAGTATGCCATTCCTTTTCGTTCATAGTGTTTATGTCCAAGAAATGGTTTCTCACATCGAGCACAGACAAAATGCTGCAAAATAAAGTTATTATTATTATAAAGATCAAAACAAACTCTTCTTAAACAAGTACGAGTTGCACATTGACTGAACATTTGTGCAATGTGGGTGAGAAATCTAAGTTTTGAATTAACTGAGAATGTGAGAATGTTACTGAGAAAATTTAAAAGAACATTAATTTTGCAAAATGAGAACATAACATGCTAATATCATTCACATAATCATTTTCATATACATGTAGCTTTAATACGGTTACTGACAATTAGTGGATAACATCAGAAAATATTTGTTGACTATTAAAGTTTAGGCAAATTTAGAAACTTTGGAAAATTTACTTTTTGTATTGTGGATTACTTTACTTGCATTCAAATTGACATTTGGTTATGTCCACTGACAATCAACGAGTATTATATTAAGCGATACTACGAGGTTGTTACGAAGATGCCTCAAAGTATGCATGAAGACAGTACAGTGGGAGTATCAACCAATGCACAGCGAAGGTCGATGCGACTGTGTACTATCTGAGTGCATGCTTTGAGGTATCCTTGTAATAACCTTATTATTATACATCTTTTCCTTCCAAGGATACATCATGGGATGCTGAAATCAAAAAGCAGCCT